ATATATATATATGTATATATAGGGGTATATATATATATATATATATATATATATATATATATATATATATATATATATATATATCTATAATAGTATGTATGTGTATTTAAGTATTTTCTACCCTATAAATTTGTATATATTTTAAAATATAAGGAGACATTCACGCATATATATATATATGAAGTTTATATTTACATGCTGAAGTGTTTTTCCATGTCTCCATACAAGAGTATATATATATGTACATATGATTGATCGCGCCTACAAAGATTCTCCATGTTTTTTATCTGAACACACAAGTACCAGTGTGTTTTATAGAATTACTTCTGTTGTATGTATCTGCCCCACTCATAATTCTATACGCGCGTGGGTTGGAAAAACATATCTTTCAATTAAAGCCATATCGTTTTCTGTTTGTCTACTAGCGCTCAAAGAAGATTTATACATTGATCGTCTGGGGTCAGATGTAGCCCGTTTCACTAACACTTTGGTTTTGTCAATCACAGCTGTAAAACATGTTGACGAGGATTATGATCCACGATCCCTCTTTGAACGGTTGCAGGAAAATAAGGACCGGAAAAATGAAGATATCGATGAGAAAATGAAGTTCAGTACGTTTTTATCTGAGTTTCTTGATGAAAGTAATATTTGATTACCCTTGAATAATAATTCACACTGCTGCCATATCATATGAATGCATACGAAACTAGGCGTATCCATAGATGAAAGACGTTGCTCCGTTTTCTCCGAGATTGTTTCGACGTGAGCTTTGGCAATCCACAAGATGATGGCATCGATACTGGATGAAGCTAGCATTGACAGAGGCATAGGTTTGGATGCGCCTCAGGCTATTCGGAGTGCATTTTCACCTATTTAGGAATTATCTGTTTTTGTCCATGATTACTTCCATAGAAAACCAGATATCTTACCTGGATGATGAAGACGTGAACTTTCTTCAAGCTGCAGGTGAGTTGAACGACGATGGGTATTCAATGTACGTCAGTTTTTTGGAATAATAATTCAATCCCTGCTTATAAATGTTTGTCTGATTCGAAATTCTTGCAATAACTTCGTCCCGCGATTGTCTTCGTTTTATATTGCTTGAAACTCAGCTGTATGCATATTCTTATCGTATGGATTGGTAGGCAGGATTCCGTGAGTAATATTCGGTTTTTTTTTCCATTGTTACATTGTATCGCATATTGCTGTGCTTTCATATAATATTGCAATGAACTCATATATTGCTGCCTATCCGGCCGCAATCTTAGTGTGAGATTGAGTAGGAACATTTGTTTGCGTTGTTTGGTGCTTTCATTTGGTTTACATTTGTGACCTGCTCATACACGGATCATACACGGACAACCGACCATACACGGACAACCTTGCCTATTTGAGAAATCCTACAATTCCGTTTTAGCTGAGGAGGAGGCGAAGAAAGAAGAACAGCGATGGGAGGAAGAGATGGCGGATGTGAAAGCATATAGGGTATGATGATAGTTCTGTCTTTCTCTCAGCTACAGTGAATCTGGCAATAAATACTTTGAAGAGTTTGTCAGAACCGGTAATATGTACCCGTTAACTGCTGCTGCACAAATTATGTGTACACAAGCTGCTATATGCTTGTACCAGCGCGTGGAGTATAAATATCATTTCGTATGTTCATGTGTTCTGTAGATGGCCGTATCCAGCAAACAAACCGCACAAGCTACAAACTTTAATCTGGAAAAGTTGGGTGCAGAAGGCGCGAGCAAAGAAAGTAAGGTGGTGCAGCCGCCAAAAAAGAGGTTTGCTGGCGGGCTACTACTGGGGATTGTAAAACGACCAGCAGATTCGAGGTGTGTCATGGGTATTTATCATGAATTATTGGTTTCTCTCACGATCGAAACTAAGATACGCAGCTGTGTTTTGTGTATCTCCGTTGTCAAGTTTATGCTCAAAAATGTTGCAAGTTTTCGTAGATTATCTAATTTTACGTGGAAATAATTATAAATCGCCTTACCCGCATCACCGCCACTTATTTGATAACAGAGACGCAAATTCCAGTTCTGAATCCAAAAGGCAAAAAGTAAGTGACACAACGGAAGTCAGTGACACGCACAAAACTACTAAAGCAGATCCCCCAAAAACGGATTCGAAACCGCTGGCAAGTATGCTGGCTGCATACGATAGTGAAAGTGAAAGTGGTGACAACAGCGAGTAGCATGCCAAAAGAGCACTTGTGAGCGTGCTTCCATAGTAGAGATGGCAGAGATAGCTTCAAAATGGAGGAACATTCTGCTGGTAGCTATGCATATCTATGAGTCCAGCGCTGAAAATCAGAACTAACTTTCTCAGACTCGCCCTGGGAGAGGTTGAAGTATTGGAAGATATGTCTACTTTGGCACGATCCGCCCATGCTTGTGTGTATTTGTACATGGCTATCTTGGCATGTACCATGGATATAGTGCGTGCGGGGCGCCCATTGCGTTTACGATACTCATGCACAAATACTTGAGAAAGTTTTGCGCGAGGACTATGTATGAAATGAATTGATGATCCTGTTGGGAGGAATTGGTCACGAGCTCGACGAAAGTAACATATCTGTCGATATACTCTACTCATCCAATAGTCGACCCAGAATGCGGGACATTCTCATCTCGTTCTCTTGTGATCGTCGTGCGGGTGTAGCTTGTTCAGCATTGGAGATTCCGATTGAAGATTACCGCTCGCTTTGATGAGTATCTTTTTACTTGCGCAATAATCTTGGAAGTGAGAGTATACGAAATTGAGAAGCACGCATGGACAATTCGGTTGGATATTTTTAGTGTGGTGTTTGTGCAAGTAGGTAAGCGACTTAGAGATAAAAAGATCTCTCTGGCTACGTCAAACACCCGCCAAAAGCAGATTCCCTTGATTGGATCTAGAACCTGATCATTTTGTGATGCAGGAATTGCTTCGTCCAGAGTGATTTTCGAGTACACACATCCGCAGCAGGTACGCGCTGGAGACGCGTTTATCCTAGTGTTTTGAATATGAGGAATCATTTCAAATAAAATGCCGCGTAGACACGTTTTCTCACAGCAATGGAACTCTATGGAACTGTCTTCACAGTTATGTCCCGTAGCTTTTCAAAACATCTTCACTTTGTGTCTGAAATTTTTAACAACATCAAAAAAAACCCCCTAGAACCTATCACGATAAAAACTGAGGCAGAGAAAAACTTCCTCTGACGGTACTCGAAACCGCGACTTCACGCTTCGTAGGCGTGCGCTCTACCAACTGAGCTACAGAAGATGAATTATTTTATAATGATAATAAATATATCATAAATTTGAAAAATATTTTCTTTGTTGTCAACATTATATTTAGGTAATACGTATATATAAATATAAATATATAGTCCAGCAGGCGTGGGCCGCCGTGGATCAGCTGGTAGCTCTTTTTTGTAATTCTGAAAAAGCATAAAAGATGAAGTATTGATGTGTCGCAAGGCTAGTAGATGAGGAAATGTTTTATTTGCCAGGGGAAAAAAATGTCTGAAGAGCCTTTATACCAAAAGACTGCTTAGGAAGTTGGGAAGTAGGCACAGGACGATAGCGGGTGGGACAAGATGTAACTATTAAATAAACATCAATTTTGGAGTCAAATTTGTTCATTCCTTTTTATATATCTTTTCTCGTCAGTCTTCGTACAGCAATAGTAAACTGTATGCTAATTTATAGTTATAATAATAAATGTTTCCCTCACCTTTATTACACGGTCAGATCTATTTCAATTAATACTCGTTGTTTTTTACCTATTTAGAAGGAGGCTATGTCAAACCAGCCTACTATACAGCGTCGTTCTATTCAATTGATATTTTTTTTAAATATACCTTTTATGATATTCAATTGTAGGCTCGTATTTAAATATAGGGTTTGCACTTTGAAAGTTCGAGTATGCAGCTTGCACTGTTGCACTCAAAGTTGCAATCAGGTCTCATACCGCTATAAGTTAAAACGCATAGATTCCGATGCCTATAGCGTTAAACTTTCGCCCAATATGTAACAATGTCGGATCACCGGATGCCGTTTTCAATGATAAAAAAGCCCTATGTATGCGGATCGGCTGTGCAGCCAATGGCTGTTGATTATGCAATTGCGCAAATATTCATAGGCCCCAAAAACACTCGCTTTTTAATAATAAAATTGTGTGTATTTCCAATATTTGTTAGGTTTTGATATTAAAAAATATGGTTTTTCTCAACGTTGGCATAGCCAACTAAGCATACACATAGGTCATCTATAAGGACTGATTTACAGACTTCTATGTATGAAGCAAAATTGGTTCAAGACTAACCGCCAAGTCCATGTACAGAGAGAAGGGGTTAATTTGTGACGGCAACTATATGATAGTTAGTACTTTCATACGCAAATGAAAGCAGGCGTAAGTCTGATCGATACTTGTGGCATCTGCAGGTGACGGTCATAATGCAAACAATTGGCGCTGATAAATACCGGCCATATTAGAACCAGCGCGGACTCTGAATCACGGGGATAATGGCTAAATCAAAACAGGTGTGTTTATCGCGGCTCTCTACATTACCAACCCATATTGTACAAATCTGAGCACTAAATTTCGGCGAAAATGGCACATTTTGAAGTGCAAACAACGACCACGGAATACATGGATTATATATTAATTCTGTCTGTATGTATGTATATATATATATATATATATATATATATATATATATATATATATATATATATATATATATATATATATATATATATATATATATATATATATATATATATATATATATATATATA